CAGTAATCACACAGGCGCATCAAGAGCCAGTTGGTATGAAAAGGAGAAAACAAATGGGAGAGGCCTGTGGAGTAAGAAAGACACAGAGATCCACCCTAATAGAAAAAGGAAAATAAAAAGGGTTACACAATGACTCCTTCTATGATGCTTACGAAAGAGAAGGAGCATTGCTGGCCTGGGATTTAATTCTGGTATCACCCCTGTTGTGTATTTACTACTGACTTTACCCCGTGTGAGCAAGATCAGACATAGCTTATTAACCAAAGAGATGCTTAATCCTACTTAGTCATCAGGCATGAGTAAGGACTACAAGCATTTGACCTTTTCGTGGAAAATAAAACATCTAAAAAAATTATCTTCTTTCTTCATCTTTGCAATGCCACAGAAATAGACTTTTCCTAGAGTGTGAGTGATGAACTCCTAAGCACCTCTAAAGTAAGTTGAACAGAAATATTACACAAGAAAGAACACAAGAAATGTGCTCACTTTTGTGAACATATGCACAAGTACATATTAAATGCAGCAGATGTAAGTTTAAACAAACTGGTCACAAGCCTGACAACATTCTCAGTTCCAATACTGGCATTATCCGTGAATCACTAAGACAAATGAAGATGTTCCACTTTTCACTCTGGATACCTTTTTCAATAAAAAAAAGAGACTCAGGTGGAGGGAGGAGCTACCTTTCTGTGGTGGAATGTCTACCAACAAGGAAGATATATAAGCAGATTTCTAAAATTCTGGATGTGTCATTCTGTCCCTACACAGAGAAAGCTGAAAGGAGTGGCCTGCCCATTTTCCTTCCCTCAGGTAGAAGTGCAGTGTGATCATTCCCTTCTGGAAGGCAGTGAGTTAGCCCAGAATGGGTAAAGAGCAGGGCTGGAAAATACCCTGTGTTTCCAGCCGTGTTCTCTCTGACTTTAAACTAATTCTGGATTGGCATAGGATGCTTTGGCAGGGGAACAGAAAAGATGATCTAATAGGTTATTTGACTTCTGTCGTTAATTTCTCTGACCTAAATAACATTTTAGGTTTACGTGCTAAAACAATTTCCTAAGAACTGGGTTTAAGGCTAGAAATGGAGAGTAAGACAGTGGCTATCAAACCCACAATAATGCTAAATTTAAAATAAAAATCCTGAAGAGTCTTAAAATAGGAAAAAGTAGCTCTAGCCTCTTTATAGTTCACAAGAGAGCTCAGATGCAAATAAACGTGCACTAAAAGAGCAATGTGATAATTACACATCACTGGACAAAAAATTCATGGTAAGAAAGAACAGTCACAGGGATAAGAAAATAAGTGATATAATTTGCAGTTATTGTTATGTATTTGGCTATTATATAGGAAATATACATTATTTATTCTATATAAAACGTGTGTGTACGCACACACTTGCAACCTCTGAACCCCACACAATAACATGGGTGCAGAGCCAAGGAGACTCTTGCACTGAAAGAAGGAAACAAGCAAGCAGATTAGCTCACAAAGAACCAAAGAACTGATATAATGTGTTGATATTTCCTGGAACCAATCCAAAGATGAGCAGCAGAGTTTTGGATGAATTGCAAATTTTCCCAATACTTCCTCTGAAAGCCAGGCTGGTACAGCATTTTAATAATCCAACTCAAAATCACAGAAAACAACTTTGGGTTTTTGCCAGGTTGAACTGGAGTGAGGGGGAAAGGTCCCCACAGACATTTATAAACTACTTTAATTTCTGTGCACACCCCAATCTATGCCTGTGTGTGAGCAAACCAGGTGTGTAACCCACTGCTCTCCTCAATAGAAGAGGCTGAAGTCGTTATAAATCCAGGTATTTCAAAACTCAGCAAGTGAAAACTTTCTCTCTAACAAGACACAAATTCAGGGTAGATCAGCAACTCATGAAATACAGCCAAGCCTGTGCTCCCACACCCCATTTTAACAAAAGGCTTCCATTGACAACCTCTTCTCAGCTGATACAGAGCCCTGAACAGTGGGAACTGCACAGTGCTTTCCATGAACCCTGGGAGGGAGGCTGCAAATTGTGGGGGTGGCGACAAGAACCGCTGTGCAAACTGCATCCCTTCTACTCCATCCAGTGAAGAAAATCAGAGTGCATGCCTTGAAATGATTGTCCTCTGAAGATGCTTTTGGGGTTTTTTAGCCAGCTTGCTGAAGGGTGCTCAGCATGTCTCAGTACCAGGTTCTGGGAGGGTTTGCCTGGATTAAACACATCTCCCCTCCCTTCTCAGCATCTCTCAGTTTGGAGGACATGTACACACACACATAGAAAGAGATTATATTTTCCTTTAATTTGCTTTGATTTAAAAAAAAAATAAATTAAAAAAAGCGTTTCTTGCTGTCCTCATTGTGTTTGTTGTCATTTCATCCCAATACCTTCTTTTCCAAATCATGCAGTTTAATAATATGAGGGGGAAATACATTAATTATTTTTGTGTGAAAAGAAAAGCAGTAGCAGATCTATGACTGTTCCTCTGTAAAACTCTCCACTGGAGTTTACCAGAGAATAAAGTAAGGGAGAAAACCTCTAAATGTACTTAACTTTTCCCCTTTTTTAAAAATAAGGAAAAAGGTTAAATTAAATTGAATTGTTTTGCTAAATAAAAATTATGATGCACATAAACTTACCATACTGTTATGATTGTTAGAAATTAAGAAGTTTGGGAGCTTGCATTTTGTTTTATTGCAAAAAGCATAAATATCTCGGAGAAAATATTTTTCAACTGCTTTAAAAAGAGTAATTTCTTGGGTTTTAAGTATTACTTTAATGTTCCCATGGATGTTCCCCAATGTTCTTAGACATAAGTCAAAAATCATAATTAACACTCTACAAGAGAAACAAAGCAGGTGATGTACCTAGATTTTTTAGCAACATTTGTGTATTTTCTTTCAAAAAATGGAAATGGGTCTCTTTTTTTGCAATAAGGCAGTAGAAATTATGATTTTAAGACTAAAAGCATAGAGCACATTGAGTATATTTCAATAACATGAAGATCATAGCACAGGAATTGAGTTACGGTGAATTTCATCGCAAACTCCCCCTTAATTAGGCAACTCTCAGCTCTTCAAATGTCCCAACCATAAAGAATCCAGCAACAGCGAGAGCCGAAACTTCACTTCCTCCTTTTGTTATTTTGTTTCTACAACTTTCACATTATAGCTTTGGCTTTCTGTCCCGCATCTTCAAAGCAAAACCAATCAGTTTCTTATCAAAAAAAATCCTGGCTTTAATATTTCAGCATTAAATAAGGGGAATAAGGGGAAAGGACAACCTATCCCCAGCCCAGGCCCGAGAGCATCCGCGCTGCTCTGGAGCTGGATGGGGACACAGCCCTGCAGAGAAGTCATCCTGAGAATGTCTCCTAAGCCTCCAGCCCCTTGCCTGCGTCTTGTGGAAACAGGATCTTGCATCTTGTGAGATGTGAAAAGGGACTTGAGGACATTTGGGCTGAGGAGAAGAGAGTCCCTGCTCATTTAGGGAATGACTCTGCTGCTGCCCCGGGAGGAGGTGTAAGCCGAGGCAAAGTACTGCGGCTGTATTTAAAAGCCTGGGTCCGGAGGAAAGGCTCCAGAAGGAAGAGAAACACGGTTCTGCCTGGCTGGTAACATCAGGGAAGCAACAAGATGTCAGTGAGGTCGCTGCGCTTCCTGTTTGCCAGGCGCACACGCACACATCCCGCCGCCCCCGCCGCTTTGTGCGGCCGCTGCCCGCGCTCCCCCCGGCCCCGCTCCCTGCGCATCCCCGCCTCCCTCCGGCCTGCCCGGGATGCGCCGGGCTGCTCCCGAGGCCAGGGAGGCGGGGGCAGCTCTCAGCTTTTGTTTGTCGCTTTGCGAAGCCATCCCCACCTCCCTTTCAGCCGCCCCACGGTGAGGAAGCGGGGCTGGGGGCAGCGGCAAGGGTGCTGCCCGGCACCGAACCGGGGCTAGGCAGAAACACAAGGCTCCTTCCTCGGACGGACGGGAGGGGCGAGAGGAAGGACGGCCACCCCTCCGCTTTGTCACACAGACCTCCCCCGGCGGGGGCCGGCAGCAGCTGCCGCCCTGCCGGACCCTCCCGCACGGCCGCGCCTCCCCGCGCAGCGGGGGAAGGCGAGAGGGAGGGACGTGCGAAGCTTGTAAACCACACGCTGCCATCGCACCTCCCCTCCTCCTCCTCCTCCTCCTCCTCCCCGGCGCTCTCCACCGCCCATTGTGCGCCCGGCAGACGGCGAGGACCCGGCTGCCCCGTGCCCGCCCCCGGGCACTCCCGCCCCGGCGCGGGGACACGTCAGGACACACACGCGTGTTCCCCGGGAGCAGCCACAGGACCAGCACCGCCAGCCCCGTCACCAGAACCACTGTAAATAAGGCTCTGCCGGGGCTCAGGGCCCGGCTCCCCCCGCACCTCCTCTTATTATTCATCATCGGTGCAGCCTGGGAGTGGGAAACTCCGCTTCCTACTTGCCGCTACGCTCCTACCGGCTCAGCCTCCGCCCCCTTTCCCCCCCCCTCCGCTCCTCGCTAAGCTCCTTAAATCCCAAGGAAACTTTGGGAAGCGATTCAGCTCGCGTGGGGAGCCGGGCTGCCGCACGCCGGGGCAGCCCAAGCGAGAATCCTGCCTAACTTTTCCTCCAGCCGCCAGCTCAGCCTGCGGAGTCACCTTCCACCTTCCTCCGCGGCGGGATTTAAAGGCGGCCAGCCCCCCGCACGGGAAAGCCGTGGCGAAACACGCACGCACGCACACACAAAACCCTCCCCCGGCTCTCGGCAGCCCGCCTGGCACCGCTCCTTCCCCCTTAGCCCAGAGCACTTCTACCCTTCCGAAGGGGGGAAAAAAAAGCTCCCTCCAGCCCAGCCCGTGAGAAGTTGCGAAGCGTCCCGGCAGCTCCCGGCAGACCCTGCCACCGCCAAAGTTGAGCCGAGCCCCGCTTTCCCCCTTGACAAGCCACGACCTCCAGCTCATCCCGGCGAGCGACGCGGAGTTGGAGAGCCCACCCCTCCGCCCCGCATCCCCTTACCATGATCAGCGTGTGGTTCCTCTGCTCCGCCGTGGCGGGCTCGGCATCTTGCTGCTGTTTGCTCTGGTGCTGCTGCTTGCTGCCGCTGCCGCCCGTTTTCTTGGCCCTCTGCTCCAGGGTCCGCTGGTAGAGGCTCACCGTGTCCCTGCGCTCCAGCTCCAGCTGCTCCGCCTGGGCTTGCTGGTACCTGCTCTCGCAGTTGACATGGTGCCGCCGGCAGCCCTCGATGCGCTGCCTCAGCCGCTCCACCACCGTGCTGTGCTTGGGAATGCCGCCGCTGTTGGCGGTATTGTTACCGGGAGCGGCGGCAGGAGGGCCGTGGGGAGCGCTGCTCACCCCGATCCCGGCCCCGCTGAGGCTGCTGTTCAGGTTATTGTTGATGCAAATACTGCTGCCATTCGCGGCGGCAGCGGGGGCTGCAAAATCCCCCATCCTGGTCCCCGCGCACACTATTTTGGAAGAACTTTTTATCCTACACTTCACACACACAGTCTCCTCTGGGGTCCTGATGGGATACTTTTTAGAGAACCGGGGAGGGGGGGGAAGGGGGCACCATCATGTATCAGGGAAACAGCGATCCCAAGCAAATGTTTCTCTTTTCCCCCAGCCAATCCCTCTCGAGAAGCTCCAAAACATTAAAAAGAGAGAGGGAAGGGGGGAGGGAAATAGAGAAGGTGCTAAAAGGTTATCGCCAGCAACACAACCAACAAACACACACACACACACACACACACACACACACACACACACACACACACACAAAGCACAACAAACTAAGCAGCAGCAGCAATTCGGCTTAGCAAACTCCAGGAGATATCAGACCAGTTCCTTTCCTCCTCTTTCTTTTTTATAATCCATTATTTCAGAACAGATTCCGTGAGATTTCCGGAGATTTTGCCAAAAGCCTTCTCTCCCCATGGATAAGGAGAACCACGCGCCCCTCCACATGCACACGCATCCACACCCGTTCACACGCACGTTCGCACACACACATCCGAGCACGGGCACACGCCGGGCACACACGGCACACTCACTCGCACTCCACGGCATCAAAAGACAGGCAAAGCCGCTTGCTTATTGTATTTTCCTTCTGGAAAAAAGTTTTGGTGTTTATGCCGCACCGTGTTCGCAAAGTACTTTGGCTGCTCAGTTGCATTTCAACAGGAACCTAAATAGCAAATCCTCGGGCTGGGGGAAGTAAACACATGAACAATCCGGACCGAGCTGGAGAAAAAGAAAAAAAAAAAAAAAAAAAAAAAAGTAGCGCTCTGAAGTCTCTGCCAAACGCCGAGCTGATACAGCCTAGCGCTTTGCTGTGCCGTGCCGGCTGCTGCTCCTCCTGCCACCATCACAATGATCAAACGCTCTCCTCGCGCACCTCCTCCTCCTCCTCCATGCCAGCGGAGTGATACCAGGACAGGAGCGCTCGGTAAACACGGCGGCGGCGGCGGCTCCTGCGGGCCGAGAGGCAGGCCCGGGGACAAGGTGCAAAACCCGGCACGGACGGCGCCCAGCAGGAGCGGACACGGCGCTTCCCGGCCACCGCGGCCAGCTCGGCCCGGCACCTGCCGGCCCCGCGGGCTCGCTGCCGCTCCTCCCGGAGCACCGGAGCGCCCTGCCCGGCTCCGGGGGCAGCCCGCGGGCCAGCGGCGTGTGCCGCCTTCCCGCCGGGTGTCAACTGTTGCATAATGAATGGCTGGGAGCGCGGCGCGCAGCCCTGCGCCTCCCCGGCACGGGGCTGAACTCGCTATTTTAAACAGCGCCAGAAACACGACACGCCGGGCAGCAGCATTCTTCCCGGCGAGCGGCGGCTGCCTCCGTAGGGAGCGCGGGTGATTAATGGGTCGAGAATAACAGCGCGGAGAGCTGGTTTTAAAGCGTTTCGCAGAGCCGTAATTCTCGTTGGAAATTGTTGTTTTCTACCTAGCCCTATGAGAAATGCACTTCCAGATGTAATTTTTTAAATACACCCATATAGAACAGAATTATCTCAGAGAGACACCCGTGCTCTCTAACATGAGGCTGATATAAAGAAAATTGGGAGCTCACGCATTAGTAATGTAATCTGATTTGAACCATGTTCATTTTTTTTGCCATTGCAGATTAGCTTAGGATATTATTTCTAAGATACAGCGGCAAAAAGCAGTCTTTGTCTTCTTTAAGCGCTCAGCAGTACGAAATTTGGGGTTGATTTCACGCCTATTGCCACAACTCATGACCATGTTGAGATGGAATATAACAGCGGACAAATCAAAATAGCAATTAGTACCTTCCCTACGCTGGGATTAACAAACACATCTTCCTCCCAGAAAAAAAAAACCAAAGCAAAACCAAAAAACTTTTCTGTAGTGTGAGTTTGAGAACCACATAGAAGATAGTTAAAGTTCTTCGTGATCATCGATTACTACGTTATCACAGAACAAGCAGGGGGGAATTACAGCTCTGCTCAGAGGCAGCGTAAGAACGCGGGGAAACTGCAATCCTGAGTCAATTATAGAGATTCGTGCCTCTCTCAGTTTGGAGACGGGGGACGTGTTGTAATCTCTCCGGTAACTATTGAATTGAATAGTTAAGATTCAATGTAAGAATAGAAAGAGGAGGGGAAAAAGAAGAGGGGGAGGGATTTGAGGTTTAAAACTACGTATTGATATTTTATTAATATTAATAAATACATTAACATTTATTAATAGGAAAATACTACTACTAATAATAATTTGACATGGAAAATGCGATCAGGCCAGGGAGGCAGAGGGCTGTGAAGTACATTTAACTCAGAGCGAGCACTTTTTGGATTCCTCCGCAGTGCCCCCTGCAGCCCGCAGCTCCAGTGCTGCAGCCTGGCTCCACAGAGCGCTGGGCAGCGCTCGACTCCCAAAAACCGAATGGTTTCTCACACCCACAGGGTCAGAAACACGTGTAAAAGCGGTGATCTTCTTACAAACTTCTTTTTCTGTGCATTTTACAGAAGTTGTCTTCTTTTCCTATGACTACAATTAATAGAATTTTTCAATCTCTATGAAGTCACACAAACACACCTTAACTTCCAGTATATTACTTTGGCAGCCGTCAACGTGGTAATTTTTAAGTGTCAGCTGTACTGTTATAGAATTTAATTTCAGCCCATTAAAAAAGTAGGAATTTTTTATCTCTCAGCTATGTATCTTGGTTCTGCCAGTCTGCACAGCCCCAGGGTGATGATTTGAGTAAAAGAAGTTTTGGAGTAACCGCTGCTTAGTGTTAGAAGTTTTGCAAACAAATAAATCACCAGTTTTGCGGAAATAAAATCCCAACCAACCAAAGCAAGGAAGAAAGAAACAAAATACAAAACTCCGCCAACAAAACCTCTCCATCTGAATACATTCAAAAACCATTTGATTCTGATTAAAATCTATTTTTTCATTGGCTGAGGTTGAAGCAAAGCTGAGCAAATATACATTTATTTCCCCCACTCATTTTAACAGCATAGTGGCGATTCTTGCATTATTCTACAGTACAATCTTTTAGAAGATAAGGCACTCCCCCCTATATCTAAAGGCAATCAACAGAATCGGCATTTCATTAAAAAGTGGAAGTTGTCCTCTGTTATTTTACAGCTGTCATCCAGCACCTAAGAGTTAACTAAATATTTTCTTCTGACAGGAGGTTTTTCTTTTAAAGCCAAGTATCGAGTGCCATTGTAAAATAGCATAATAGAGGTAAGATTTCCCAGTTCATTTTTGCATCGCTTATTTTAAGGACACTTACATAAACAATTACCAGCTTCTAAAAAGCTGAAGTAAAATGAGCTATTTAGCAAACTATTTAAATCCAATTTTTGAGAAGGACAACACTCCTGCTAGGCCTCCGAGTCTGAAAAAAAAATAAAACTAGAAAACAAATCCCTTGTATTATAGCCTGAGCAATGCGGGAAATAGAGAGATCTCAATTTTGTTCTAACTACCGATTACTGTCATTAAAGCAAGGTTCTTCACAACCTTGACCAGACAACTCTGTTCTGTAGTCAGACACAAGCACAGGCTCACTCATGATCGTGTGTGCTCTTACTTTTCTGACCATGGACTTACCCCTTCTGTAGAAATTCACTTTGCATGCACAAATGTGTTTATTTGCTCTATAACTTTTTTTTTCCTCCTGTTTGCACATCAGCTTTGGAACACTCTCTTCACAACTGGAATTTGGAGACAATCAAATCCATCAGAATTCTAAATGGTCTAAGATGAACTTGCTGATGGCAGCAGATGAACAGTAATGCCTACCAATATCAGCTGACAGGACACTAATTACCAGTTACAGGAGATGATTGCTTGGTGAGAGATCTATTCAGCGAGTTACGATTTTGAAAAATTATAAAGCACAGGCCTGATCTGTGAAAAGATACGCCGTATGAAAATACAGCGTACGTTCTCAAGATGATTATCATGACAGAGATCTGTCTAATTAGGAAGGAACTATTTTAATGCTAAGATATGAAAGAGCCCAGCTGGGAGAGGAATTTAGAGGAAGACACAGAAACATGACTGTTAAGCTGACAGCAAGTGCAGCCTAAGCATGTTCCAATGACAGCTTCTAAAAAAAAATTTCATCTCAGCATTTAATCAATAGTGGTTTCAGAACAAGCACAGCCTTACAGATAATCTAGCTAGTCATATTAGTAGGAGGGGCTCCATTAAAAAATACATAAAATATGCTTTTGCAGAGTAACATACCACTCTCCTTTGGTCAACTGAGCTAGAGGGTTATTCAGTCGATGGGCAGCCGGGAAAATAGCACTGTGAGGAGACAAGCGGGAATCCCACTCTATTACAAACCACAATTTAGATCCTTGCACTGCCAGTCAGGTTGGAAACTCCAATCATTGTGACAGCAAGTTTCAAACCATGCAGGGCAAGAGATTAACCTTCAGAGTGCCCACCTGGGCAGAAAACTTTCTGGAAGATCTTACTATAATTAAATTGTTTATTTCTACATCAGTGGAATACATGGTGAAACGGGGGTCTGCTGGAAGGCAAACCTGGAGGCAACCCCACAATGTGTTCACTGAATAACTTTGAACTTCCTGGGTCTGCAAGGAGCAGCTTTCTTACATATTGAAAAGGGTTTCAGAGGATTTCTGCTGAAAGTTGAAAGAATAATAATAATGTCATTTGGAGAATAGTTAAAGCAATGCCATATATTGAGGGTTCACTGAAAACTAAAAACCCCACAACATTCATGAAATCCAACTGCAGCATGGCAAAAATTCTCCTGAATTGGAGCATGGGGTGGTCACAAGCTACAACTGTCAGAATATCCAGAACTGTAGGGATTCTTCAAGGGATGAACTGAGTCTGGAGCAAAAAAAGTTGCTCTAAATAGTTAAGGAAAAAGTCAAAGCTTCAGAGAGACATAAGAACAAAAGACTAAAGGGAGGAAAGGGAAACAGAGAAAATCAGAAAGCAAGTTCAAATTGCAAAAGGCCGAGGTTTAAGGCACTGCAGGAAGTGGAGTGATCACTCTGTGTAAATACAAACAAAACCAAAACACCCTCAAAACAGATTTTCAGCTTGTACATGTCAAGTTGTAGAACACGGGGAATCAAAATCAGAATTTTTACAAAAACTTTCCAGTTGTGACCAACACTGAAAGCCCCAGTTCATTAGTCATTACAACAGGACAGGCAAATGGATTGAGATACAGAGGGCAATAAACAAAAAAATCCCCATCACCGAAATCAAATCCCCAACTCTGGCAATGAGGA